GTGGGGGGGGGGGGGGGGGGGGACAGGCCGAGAGATGTGCGCGCGCGGAGCAAAACGTTAACACACGTCGTCGCTTACAACCGTTAATATGCGTCTCAGGGCTTCCGAAAACGCGGAGTGATAACGTAGGGAACGGGGGTGCGCGGGGGCGTAGGGTACAGTAGGGGATTGGCACGGCGGTGTGCTCACGCCGGCGTCAGGAACAAGGGAGAAGAAACTGAGTGCCGTGTACAACCACTCATGCAAGGTTCTGTGAGTCAAACGGGCGGGCGTTCTCTACAAAGGGTTCTTTCTCCTCGAAGGCGACTGACTCGCGAGTACAAGAAGATGTGCAACGCGCTGGCAAGAGAGGAAGAAGGCTGGGACAGCACAACCCGCTCTTCTGTCTATTCTCGGGGTGAATTTGTCTCTCCCAACCTAATGGTGCCATCACCACCACCATCACTAACCACCAGCAAACCAAGCACGAGTGAAAGCTTTCCAAAAACCGGCCATGTCTAGGCCTTCCATATTCACACCGCCACCATAAATTCGGCAACTGATGACGGCAACGACAATGTTTGACAACAGCACACCACCGCATCCACCACCACAGCCACCACCACCAGTAGCAGTAGCAGAAGCAGCTGCAGCGGCGGCGGCGGCAGCAGCGGCAAGAGGGGGTGAATGAGCGAGCGACGCACCTAGGCCCTCGAGAACGCCGTCCATGAACGCCTGCAGGCCGCCCGGCTGTACACCTCCACCATCTCCGTCTCCGCCCCCGCGCTGCCCGTCGGTGACGCAGTACGATTGGCCAGAACACGCCGGGCCCTTCCGCGTGCTCCACCCCGCCCCGCCGGCCTGGGCACCCGCCGCTCCCTCCGCAAGCTGGGTGCCGGCCAGCACGGTCGCGTCGATCTTTCGTGGATTAATCGTGAGAAAATTGGCAACGGGCGGGGAGGGGGGGCAAACGGAGACCGTTAGACGACCTACACGAACGGGAGAAGTTCGTTGGTAGATGAGTTACCCGACAACGGATGGTGTTGTTGCTGTGTGGTCAGCGGCTAGGGACGCGGCGTGAAAAAAAAAATGCTGGCTTCCATGTCGAAAGGTCCGCGAGTCTACCTTCAAGTTAGCACGGAGGAGATAGGTTTTTCAACTCACACCACGCGGCAAATGGAGCTATCTCAAGCCTGGTTTTGGTTCTGTCCGTGATAGAGCGATACGCTAACACGCAACACTTGGCGCACAGCAATACGTTCATGTCGACTTCGATCTTCTTCTGTGAATTAGACCAGCGAAGGAAACAGAAGCGTTCCCTTTACAATCACCACCTCAACAGCTGAAACCATAAAACACCACTTTTGCTCCAATTTTTGGCCCAACACGGGTCTTTACGACGCACTATTACATGGAGAGCGAGAGTGACATGTACCCCGCCTGGAAAAGAGATACCATGACACCAGACGACAACAACAAACGACGATATCACAATAGGATAGGGGTCGGTCCCTCGGTAGCGCCGGTATGTGGTCCAGCCAGATTCACTGGCACTATACCGGGCACTATTCAGAGAATGAGACAACTTGAAAACTTGATAGGCCATCCGTGTCACGCGATCGCACCGGCACCATACCGGGCAATGACACTACCGAGGGACTCCCACCGTAACGCCCACAGAGCTGACCGGGAGAGAGGGCAAAAAAAACAGCTCTTGACGGCGCACCAGGTTCTGGAAGAAAATCATATCCGACTTGGCTTCCGGGAGCCCGCGAAGGGTCACGCGGTTTAGCCCCCACCCCATCCATGACAGCGCCCGCAGCAGCGGCCTGAAGGAGGCAGGGGGGGGGGGGGGGGCCATGACCCAAAAAATCAAGGGACCAAAAAAAACTTAATGGTTCAAAAAAAAAAAAGTTCCCAAAAAAAAAAAAAGGGGAAAGGGAAAAAAAATGAAAAAAAAGGTTGGTTAACCCCCTTTTTAAACCTTTTGAATCCCAACCCCCCCCCCTTGAAATGGCTCCCGTTATTTCCTTCGGCCCCCCCCTCCCCTTTTTTTCCCCCCCCCTAAAAAAAATCTTGGCCCCAGGGCACCCTTTTAAACCCTCCCTTCCCCAAGTTTTTGGGTTCCCCTCCAAAAAAAATTTCCAAGAAATTTAAGGCCCCCCCCCCAAAAACCCCCAAAAATTTTTTTAAAAACTTTTTTTTGGCAACCCTTTCCACCCCTCCAAAAATCCCTTTTTTTTCCCAAAAAAAAAAACCAAAAAAAAAAAAATTTTCCCCCCCCTTGGTTGAAAAAAAAAAACCCCCCCCACCGGCCCCCCTTTTTTTTTTTGGAAAACCCCCCCCT